GTCTGCGTATATCCAAAAGGTACTCAGGCAATTTAACATGGATAAAGTGCACCCTGCTAGCACTCCCATGGTGGGCCGAAGTCTAGATCCTAAAAAGGATCCATTTCGTCCAAAGGAAGATGAAGAGGAGGCATTAGGAGCTGAAATTCCATACCTAAGTGCAATAGGCGCATTATTGTACTTAGCACAATGCACTCGGCTCGATATAGCATTCTCAGTGAACTTGTTAACTAGATTTAGCTCTGCGTCTACGCAGCGTCATTGGAACGGTATCAAGAATATCTTTAGATATCTTAAAGGGACTGGTGACTTGGGACTGTTCTTTCCCTACGGAGAGACGAAGAAAACCACAAATGGAGTTGTGGTCACAAAGGACAAAATGGTTACCCCCCTAAAAACCCCCAATGATGTCTTGGTAGGTTTTGCTAATGTTGGGTACCTCTCCGACCCTCACAAAGGTCGTTACCAAACTGGCTATGTTTTCACAATCGGGAACACGGTGATATCCTGGAGATCAACTAAGAAAACCCTTGTGGCTACCTCCTCGAACCACTCAGAGATCATTGCTCTACATGAGGCGGTCCGTGAGTGTATATGGTTAAGAGCTATCATTGCACACATTCGAGGAACTAGTGGTTTAAAGCCTACCACTGAAGAGCCAATCTGCATCTACGAGGATAATGCTGCCTGTATCGAACAAATGAAATTAGGATACATCAAGGGTGACAACACAAAACACATATCTCCTAAGTTCTTCTATAATCAGCAACAACAGGCCTTCCTCAAGATCCAAGTAAATCAAATAAGTTCGGAAGAAAATGTAGCAGACTTGTTTACCAAGTCATTGCCCAAGGCCACATTCGAAAAACATGTGAAAAACATTGGAATGCGTAAGTTTTCTGAAATCCCCTGATTAATGTAAATATCAGGGGGAGGTGTAGACTTCAGGGGGAGTCTTACACCCTCACGTTATACTCTTTTCCTTAAACCAAGCTTTATTTTTTCCCCATTGGGTTTTTGTTACTTGGTAAGGTTTTTAACGAGGTAACTGTGAGTATCGATCAAAGTAAAGAATCCAAAAGGACTCAATGAACGAAATCCAATAAACTCTAATCTCTCGTCAAGGTTTATTTTTCCCAGAGGGGTTTTTTGTTACTTGACGAAGATTCCACAAGGCAACAGGGAGTGCAACATTCTATCTACTACTCAGCACAAGGGGGAGTGTTAAAGGAAATTACTTGTAGTGTGTTGTCATTATAGATAGAATATTCACTAATATTATGTACTGAGCTAATGGACCCGAGAAGCCCAACCCTTGTATAAACCTAATTCTCCTCTATTTAAAGAGGGTCTACCTATTGGAATAATACACCTCTCTCACTTCCCTACAACACGTTTAACATAACTAATCATATATATTCTCCCTCAATCATAAGCATATATTTCTATTTGTCTTTTGACCCATACTCTGAATTATCTGTTATCAATATAAAGCCGAATTCTTCCAAAAAAAAGCATATATTTCTATTACTCCCTCCGGTCCTTATTAAATTTTACACTTTGACTTCACACATATTAAGGAAATAAATTTGACTTTACTGTACAATACACTGTTTGACACTATTTGACACTGTTTGGCACTGTTTTGCACTGCTTGGTGTAGATTTGTTTGCCAAATAAGGCAAATAAGGAAGTGTAAAGTTTAATATGGAACAGCCTGAAAAGGAAAGTATAAAGTTAATTAAGGACCGGAGGGAGTATATCATAATCTATTCTACTCTCGCATTTGTTTTTTAAAGGGAGAGGGAGGATGATAAGGGCTTAGGATCCACCCTTTCTTGTTTAAAATTTAAAAAGTTAGAAGGAATTGTTTTCAGAGGTTTTAGTAGCCTCCAAAATCTTTCAAATGGTCAATTTTTAATTTTCCAAATCATATAAACTTAATTAGTATCATGCGTATATTAGCTCTTTATTTGGCAGTCAAAATTAAATATAAAATTTTGTCGGAAATATAGAATTGTACTTCCTTCGTCCCGCAATTAAGTTACGGGATGAATTTCACATATATTAAGGAAATAAATTTACTGGGGGTAAATTTTACTGTTTTGACACTGTTTTGATGTAGATAATTTACCAAATAAGAAAAGTAAGGAAGTGTGAACTTAATTTAGGGACTGCCCAAAAAGGAAAGTCGTAATTTAATTGTGGGATGGAGAAAGTATTTTGTTAGTGAGAATGGTATTTTGTCCACTCAAATATCTTTCTTATATCCACATAAATCTTAACCTTTTTGAAGTTATACCTTATTTATAGTACTATTAGTATACACATATGTCCATATGGAAACCCTAGATCGTTAACCTAATGAAACATTAATAGAATCAAATCAAATTTTGAGTTATCAACATTCTGACTCAATAGTCAATATCATTATATCAAGCAACTATAAACAATGGATTCTCATAATACTAAGTGACAGCTGAAGCTGTTTGAAAACGGCCACGATTCAAGACTACCTCATTTAAGATTTTTTTCCTAGCACACCTCATTTAAGACGCAAATTATATCGTACATGCGGTTATGTCATGCGCACGGTACAGCCGGTTGTACCATGCGCACTGTACAATCGGCTTTTCCTTCACGCTACGCTTCTTCGATCTTGCTTCATTTCTCCGATCGCCTGCACCAGGCTCTCTGCTCTTTGTCACGACTATATGCTCCTCAAGCACGAACGCCCTTCTGTCGCACAAAGACGGAGGCTCCTGAGGATCTTCGTTTTTGGTTGTTACTGTGAGAAGAAGAAGATTGGAGACGACAGATTGAGCTAATGATTTCTGGTTCTGGGAGTTACTTCATTGTTGAGGAATTCTTGCTGCTATTGATCTCAAATGAGTCTATGGCTATAAGGAATGAGAATACACAAATAAATATTGAACACGTTATAAATGAGTTTTATGTTAAACTCAAATGAGTATAACGCCTAAAATGAATGAGCATATACAAATGAGCTTTTGAATTTTTTATATTCATTTTGTAAGTTATGTATGCTCATTTGGTATTGGTTTCATGCTCATTTTAAAATGTTGCATATTTCAAACGTATCATATTGCATTAGATTCGCATATTGGAATTAATTGCAGACATAATTTGAGAATTTTTTTAAAAGAACAAAATAATAAAAAGAAAGTGATTTAGTAGATATGAAGCAGAGATCATGATGTTCATTCTTAGGCTCCTAATAATCAAAAAGAAAAGACTTGATGCTCACAAAAATTGCATTAATGCTCATTTATGAGGAGTCGCTAATTTCACTTAAATTACTAAAATGTCACCGGTTGTACGGTGTAAGCCGTAGAGCTGGCTGTACGGACTCCATTTAAGAATTATGAAGTGAAAATGTGAGTGATATTTCTATCTAACGTGATACTCTCTCCGTCCCTTATAACTTTGCCAACTTTCCTTTTTTGGATGTCTCGCTAACTTTGCTACTTTCCCTTTTAAGTAAAGAATTTGTGCTTCCAGTTCATTCTCTCTCCTGTGCACAAACCTCAACCACACAGTTTTTACTTTAATATTTCCCGTGTCGGTCAAACTTGACAAAATTATTAGGGACGGAGGGAGTATTAGATATATCCAACTATCCAAGTGGCGCTTTTTTCAAACCATGATTGCCCATTCTAAGTTTTAGTTTTTAAAAAAAAATCAAATACTCCCTCCGTCCCGTAAAATAGTTCTCGAATTATTTTCCGGACCGTCCCAAAAAATAGTTCACATTTCCTTTTTTGGAAAATTTTGTGTGGCTCACATTTTTTTGGGGAGGGCACCCCTGTGGGATCGAGGGAGGGGGTTGGGGGTCCCGGGTGAGGGAATACAAGAGTTCAAACTGCTCCCGGTGGGAAATGAACTTCTAACCTCCGGGATAACCGGGTGACTCCACAATCAACTAAGCTAGTTGCTTCGTCAGTGTGACTCACATTTATTTACCTTTTTATTACTCAACCACAACCATACATTTCTATTTTATTCCCACTTTCTTAAAATCTGATCCAAGTCAATATGAGAACTATTTTATGGGACAGAGGGAGTAACTAATTTATTATTAAAAGATGACAAAGATAAAAAGAATGGATAGTCTAAGAGTACAATGGGATGAGACAGAGAACGAAAAAGATCCAATAAATTCTTCCAGATCGTTAACACCGCAATAATGTATTCTAGTCCAACAGTCTTGTTGCTCTTCTTGCTACTCCAAAGAAAAAAATAAAAAAATACAACTAAAAGATTCGACTTCACCACCCATCGTAAAGAGAGAATTGATTTGACCAGCAAGGCATCAACCAACAAAGGAAACTCAATTGAGCAAAAATTGTTCGGAGCATTAGTTTGACCATCCATCGAAAAAGAGATCTAGTTGAGCGCAATCTTTTTGTTCAAGTGAGGCAGACAAGCAGTGGTTCGAAAAAGAAGAACATGTCTTACCAACCATAAATAATGAACCACTTGATCGATTACACCGACGAGGAAGACACAACCTCTAGGCATTGCTAGAAGAAGAACAAAACACACGCTCACCTGAAACAGACATAACTCTCGAATCTCGATCAAAGAAGATGTCAAAGTGTCGAACCAAAACCACAACCATAGAAGATAGAAGAAAAAAGACACTATAGCAAAATCTTTGATTGATTAATGTCCAAAAAAAATCACAATCATAAAAACTCTTGCCAATTTCAGAGAAGAAGCTAGAAGATTAGATCGTCTAGAAACTCTCCACCTAGGTTTCTCTAGGGCTAGCTCATGTTCCGTTTATAATTATAGTCTTTACAATTCATTCTTATTTTGACTTACGTGTTTCTTTTGCGCATCTTATTGGCATATAATTGATACTCCGTGTAAGATTTTCGTTGCCTTTTATCATTCAGATTTCAGTTAGCGGTGTATATCTATATTTAGAAAATAAGAATATTCTTAATTACAATAAGAATATTAGAATAGGAAGATGGCATGAGGACGTTTACGATTTTAATTAATAACAAAAATAATATGTCGCGAGGACATGTTGGTGTTTTACATTCGAAAGAATGAATATAAAAACTTATTACGTATTAATACATGTGATCACGAAAGTTATGTCAGGACAAAAAATTTAATCGCCCGTCAGCCCTGTTTCAAAGAGTTCTTTTTATCACTAATGTTTTTATAGTCATCCCAAGAAGCACCATCTTGGAGACACCACACTGGCACCAAACAAACACAAAAAAAAATTAATAAAATACACATGCATCACCATAGAAAGTGCATTGACATGCCAAAGTGCAGCAACTGGATCTAATAAACTATTATATGCTACCTTAAATGACAAACTTATAATGGTACATTCCTTCCATCTGGAATAACTAAAAACTGGATTCATTATATGCCTCGGCAAACCTTCTCCTGGGGCATATCGCATATCATAGTGCATCAGAATTCATCATACTTTGAAAGCAAAGCAGCTCAACTCATGCCTATAGCACCACCTGTTTCTCAAAGATGCTCAACCTGGCCGGGAAGATAAGTAAGGCCAACCATAATCTATTTCTGTAACTCTATATAACTATAAAGAATCTTTATTTTAGAGTTTTTTTAGCTATACTTCTTATCAAGGTTGTCAAAACTAGTGATGATACTCCATATTAATGAATAGTCGCTTTTCTCCCCATCCCCATGTTGCTTATGAAAAATGCATATTAGATTAAAGCACATATATGTAAGTAAATTAGATAATAATATCAATAAGATAAATAATATACAAATCCGGAGATCGAAGACGGGATGTATCATTAGAGACTTTTATAGAGATTTTGAGAAATTGGTATCCTAATATATTTAATGTACTTTTGATACTCAGCTGGGAAAATTTTAGTAACTTAAATGTCATGTGGCTTTTGTTCTCCACATAAATTTTGGGTGTGCTGTAGCCAAGATTTTTAGAGACTTTACAGGAAAACAATTGTGAAATACTAGTATCATTCTTGATTGAATCTCACCCAAGTGATTTCAGCTTTTGATCTCTAAATTCAATATCATATGGATCAACGCTTGTCAATAAGTTAATAGGAAGAACACAAAATGCAATTACCCATTTCTTACTTGACCAATAAAAGGTAATTAATAACTGAAAATCCTAATATCAAAAGTAGTGCAAATAAAGCCAACTATGCAATAGTACAAATCTTTTAGACCCATATCATCTGTTGTTACAGCAATTTTACATATGAAATTTACAGCAATAATATAAGCCGTAGAAAATATGGATGGAAAAATGTATGCCATTGAATAAACAAAGACTAAAGTCTAGACAACATGTTATGAAATGGGTTGATGGACAGGAAACTAATCCTTCAAATAATTTATCCAATCTCCAGATATTATAAAGAATAAATACTGAAAGAGGCCACATGAAAGAAGAATGAATGGAAAATTAATGAGGAAAAAGTTGAGCACCTTTCCATACAGTTATTCTCAATCTCTCTGCCAATAGTCCATGGGCATTTTCACGCAAGTATCTCCGAAGCAATTGTAAAACCTAAAACCGTAGGTAGAAAGTAAAGTTCATGGTTCAGAAAACATGCATCCCAATAATATAAACCTTCAAGTCAATGACGGAACTGTTGTTTAGTCTTCTAGATATTTGGTGATGTTTTTTATTTTTTTAGTTTTCCTTTGGGCCTGCTTTGCTCCTTGAATAAAATTTTTGGGTTTACTGAGCAAGTAATTAGGCAAAGAAGAAATTCCAGATTCTAATTAGTCATTTGTTTAAATAATTTAATACTGAGTAGTGTGAATAAGGCAGATTTAACATACTAAATGAAGAAGTGGCCCAGCTGAGCTGGCTGCCGACTCACTCTCCCATACAGGAGGTCTCGGGTTCGAATTCCATGGAGTTCAGCCTTCTTTATCCCAGGCTCCCCCCCACCCCCACCCCTCCTCTCCCTGACCCCCCACCCCCCCAGGTAAAAAAAACATACTAAATGAGAAGAAATCAAGTAAGATAGGCAATGAGAAAAAATCAGATACTCATTAGTCTATTTTTTTTGTCTCTGAAGCCAACATAATGATTCCTTCACTAAACACTTCTATGCTCGCTGCCTGTCTCAATTTTAGGGGGGAATATTAATGAGGCCTCAAAAGTGATTAAGACACAAATAATACAGCAAATTCAACGTAATAAATGAGAAAAGTGTTCCAAACTTATAAGCATTAGAAACAACACAGAAATTTGAACTAAGCAAGTGAAATCGGCAATTATGAAATAGTTGTGTGTACAATAGGCAAAGGGATATAGTTATATGTTAGGTAACTAGCTAACTTCAGAGTAAATTCAAGAAATGAAAGATGAAGAAAGAGTGAACAGTCTCAAGAAGGTCAATTACAGAGAAGAAAGAGAAATACAATGGCAGTTTAAGAGTGCGCACTCTCCAAGTCCCAAGCCCAAATGATAATTCCAACCTCCTTTCTATTCTACCCTCCGCCTCTATTTATACCAATTATTATGATTTTATTATTAGTCCCATTTATTATTATTCTATGTAGGTCCCTAACATTACTCCCCCTTTGACAACCACCTTGTCCTCAAGGTGGGTGATAGGAGAGAGTCCTGACGAACATCTTCTTCCTCATCTTTGCGCCTCTTCCTTCCCAATATCTCACTGAATTCTGAACCTGCAACTCCAGTACTTGAACCTTCATTTTCATGTTCTTCACTGCCAGTAGGAGCAGAAGCAAAATCCTGGTGGCAGAATACTCCCTGTGCTTACTTATGAAATCTTCAAATAAACAATTAACCCATTGAAGAAGCACAACACCACCTATTGACTCTCCATCTTGTTTTGGACTTAATGCTCCTATTGGTTTTGCAAGAACCAAGTAAGTAAACTGAAGTTTTCTGAATATTATTTCCTTGAATACATTTACAAGAAGTACATAAGCTATTTATACAGATAGGAATCCTGAGAGAGTCTATTCAGCACCCTAGGTGACTGTCTAAATACTAAACATAAATGATTGAGAACTGAAAAGACAGCAGCTATTAAATACAACCTGAAGCACTAAAGATACATAATTACAGTAATAATAAGGAAAATAAATCCTAGATTAATGATGTCTCTTCGTTTTATCAACACTCCCCCTCAAGCTAGGTTTGTAGATATCCGTCATGCCTAGCTTGACAATAAGACCCTGGAACCTAGGACTGTGCAGAGGTTTGGTAAACACATCTGCAACTTGATCTTCTGAGGGAGTGTAGCTTAGTTCGATCAGACCTCCTTCAACCTTTTCTTTGATAAAGTGCCTATCAATCTCAATATGCTTGGTCCGATCATGTTGGACTGGATTATGAGCTATGTTGATTGCTGATTTGTTATCACACCTCAATTCCATTGGTCCTTTCCACTTGATTCGTAAATCTAAGAGAATAATTCTGATCCATAGAAGTTCACATAAGCCATGGGCAAGAGCTCTTAGCTCAGATTCAGCAGATGATCGTGCCACAACATTCTGTTTTTTGCTTCTCCATGTCACGAGGTTTCCTGCTAGGAAAACACAGAGACCAGTAGTTGACCGGCGGTCAACGAGGGAGCCACCATAATCTGCATCAGTGAAGGCTTGGACTGATAATTGCCCACCCTTCTTGAATATTATCCCTTGCCCTGGACTTCCTTTTAGGTAGTGAAGAACCCTATAGGCTGCTTCTAGATGTGGTTTCCTTGGATCATGCATGAACTGACTCAAAACACTAACTGCATAGGCAATGTCAGGTCTAGTATGAGAGAGATAGATAAGTTTGCCACACAAGCGCTGATACATTGATGAATCAACCTTGGGTTCATCAGTAGCAAGTCCAAGCTTGTGATTAGGATCCATAGGTGCATTAACCGGTCGACAAGCACTCTTACCGGTCTCATTTAACAAATCTGTAATGTACTTTTGTTGGCTGATAAAGATGCCTTCAGATGAGCGAGCAACTTCAATTCCAAGAAAGTATTTTAGAGGGCCAAGAGACTTCATCTCGAATTTGGATTTCAGCTGCCCCTCAAGACGTTGTTTCTCAACTGGATCATTACCCGTCACAATGATGTCATCCACATATACCAAAAGAATAGTGACTCCATTTGGGCGAGAGTGTTTGTAAAAAAGAGTATGATCCCCTTGGCTTTGACTATACCCAGCAGCAAGAACAACCTGTGTGAAACGGTCAAACCAAGCACGAGGGGATTGCTTGAGACCATAGAGGGCTTTTTTTAAATGACATACATGTGTAGAGGTTCTTGTTGATGTTTTATTAAAGCCTGGGGGAATGTACATGTAGATCTCATCATGCAAGTCACCGTGGAGAAAAGCATTCTTGACATCAAATTGCAATAAAGGCCAATCAAAGTGAGATGCCAAGGATAGTAGGATACGGACAGTATTGAGCTTAGCTACAGGAGCAAAGGTCTCTTGATAGTCAATCCCATACGTCTGAGTGTATCCTTTAGCCACAAGACGAGCTTTGTACCGCTCAAGAGATCCATCAGCCTTGTATTTGACAGTAAAGATCCACCTGCAACCAACAATATGCCTCCCAGGAGGTTTAGTCACAATATCCCAAGTATGGTTCTTTTCAAGAGCTCTAATTTCCTCTTGCATAGCATCCCTCCATTCTTTCTTTCCTAATGCCTCAGAAACAGAGTTGGGTATGGGAATTTCATTAAGTCTCTGAACAAACAAGGCATGTGAAGGAGAGAAGTTATTAATGGTAACAAAATTAGCAAGAGGGTATAGAGGTGTTTTGGTACATTGACGTACACCCTTGCGTAAAGCAATTGGCGGAGATGGTGGTGGAGAAGAAGAGACATTACCTGGGTCAGCCAATTGGTCATGCGTCAACAATGGAGTGAACCTGTTTTTCCTTGAGTACACTTTTGTCACTGGTAGAGGAGAAGATGGGTCATGAGTGGTGGATTTAGTAGGTGTAGGAATGGGATGATCTGGTGGTGTATTTGATTGAGGTTCAGGTGATGTTGAAGACTGTTGGGAAGTAGGTGAGGTTGCTGACACATCTAAGGAAGGTGATGGATGATCATGTGGTGGTGGTGGTGATGGGATGTCTGGTGATAAAGGCTTAGGAGGGTAGGAGATTGTATGTGGTGGAGAAGATGTAATAGTATAGGTGGGCAGAGGTGAAGGATGTGGAGTATCTTGGGATACAGGGAGAGAAGTAGGAGTGTAAAAAGGTGTGTCTTCGTGAAAGGTCACATCTGCACTGTAGTATGTCTTTCTGGTTGTAGGATTATAGCACTTATATCCTTTCTGAGTTGGAGAATAACCAAGAAAGATACACTTAATAGATCGTGGGTCCAATTTTCCCCTATGAGGTGGAGGAATATGAACAAATGCAGTACACCCAAACACCCTTAGATCAAGATCAGAAGAAATTCTGGTTTGAGGAAAGAAATGACGGAGAGATTCAAGGGGTGACTTATTTTGGAGTACCCGACTGGGAATTTTATTGATGAGATGACATGCTGTGAGTGTGGCTTCCCCCCAATAGTGTTTAGGCATATTTGATTGAAACAATAAAGCCCGACTGACGTCTAGGAGATGGCGATTTTTTCTTTCTGCTGTGCCATTCTGTTGTGGTGTGTACGGACAAGAGGACTCATGAACAATGCCTTTTGAGAGGAAATAAGAGGAAACGGTTTGATTGAAGTATTCAAGAGCATTATCAGTGCGGAAGCGTTTTATTGTGGCGGAGAACTGATTATGAATCATATTGCAAAAGATAGGAATGATGGAACTCACCTCACTCTTGTTTTTTAGCAGAAAAACCCACATAAAACGTGTACAATCATCAATAAATGTAACATACCACCGGGCACCAGATATATTAGCAATTGGAGCAGGACCCCAGACATCACTATGTATAATATCAAAAGGAGAACAACTGATTGTATTACTTCCGGAAAAAGATACACGAGACTGTTTAGCAAGTTCACAGACATCACATTGAAATGTAGAAACATCAATACTACTAAAAAGACTGGGAAACATGGTTTTTAGGACATGAAAAGAGGGATGACCAAGACGCTTGTGGTGAAGCCAAATAGTGTTGGTATTGGCTGTGATTGTGGTAAGAGCTTTTTGTGGAGGTTTGGAGACAAACAGTGCATCAAGGTAGTACAGGCCATCTCTTTGTTTAGCAATTCCAATCGTCCTCCCCGTGTGTAGATCCTGTAATAAACAGTGGGAAGGGAAAAAAATGGCAGCACAATTAAGATCAACTGTGAGTTTGTAAATAGAAGCAAGGTTCATAGCCAGGTTTGGGACATGTAGGGTGTTTTTCAGATTTAATTTTTCAGAAAAAACAACCGTACCAAGTCCCGCAACCTTTGTAGGTGTCCCATCAGCAGTAGTAATGTGCGTGGATGTAAAACATGGATGATAATTAGAGAGTAAAGAGGGTATGGCAGTCATATGAGATGTGGCACCTGAGTCTAATATCCATTGGGATTGTGAACTCTGTTCCGAAGCATTAAGACAAAAAATAGTAGAGGTTTTACCTTGCAGGGCCAAAGAGCTATGACCAGAACCATTTGAGTTATTAAGAGACTGTAACATCATACGAATTTGCTTTAATTCCTCCTGGGAAATGGGCCAAAGATTAGTAGAGCTCTCAACAATAGTGGGAGTGACTGAGTTGGCACGTCCAGCACTCATTCCACGTCTGTCTTGGCTTTTCCTTTCTTTCTGTAGATGAGGATAAAGTTTCCAGCATGTATCCACATTATGGTTGGACCGCTTGCAATGATCACACCATCTTCCTCCCTTACTACCCTTAGTTTCCTTAACAACTGAAGGAGTAGATTTGGCAGCAAGAGCTGTACTGTCAATCAGATTTGTATTCATCATTATATTGCGTCTGCTCTCTTCATGTTTGATAGTGGCAATGGCAGAAGATATGGAAGGCAGAGGAGTAATGCCAAGAATTTGACCCCGAGTCTGATCATATTCGGGATTTAAACCAGACAAGAAGCAATATAGACGTTGCTGATTTATATAGTTCTTGTGAAGAGCTGCATCTGCAGCATTCGACCACTTCATCGTTTGATACTGGTCAAGTTCAGACCATCGTCGTTGGAGGTCAGTTGCATAATCTGTGACAGATTGTGAATCTTGCTTAAGATTCGTTGTTTTGAGCCATAAGTCATAGACAAAAGCGCCATCTTTAGCAACAGAGTAGGACTGCTGTATGAAATCCCAGATTTCTTTAGCCGAGTCCATGTATAAACATGTACTGCTAATGTTGGGATCCATAGAGTCCCATAACCAGACCCGTACGTTGGCATTAGTTTTCTCCCAAATAGCAGCATCAATCTCTCCTTCTTCTGGGGTAGAGACAGTGAGATAATCTTCAAGATCTTTGCCACGTAGAAGAGTGTAAACCAGCTTTGACCACCCAAGATAGTTCCTGCCATTGAGACGGTAAGATGGCGGGATAGAAGGGAGATCAAATTTCTGGTTTCGAAGAGCAAACGCGGCTGCAGTAGCAGCTGAAACAATGGTTGAGTGATCAAGGTTACTTGAGGCTGATTCGGCTTCTTTAGACATGATAAAACCCTTGATGAAGAGACTCCACCGGGAGTTAAAGAGAGAGAAGGGTAGAGACACCCAAAAAATGACCGTTGGAGAGGTGATAGACTGACTCAAAAAAGGCTTAGACGAAACCAAGCTCTGATACCATGAAGTTTTCTGAATATTATTTCCTTGAATACATTTACAAGAAGTACATAAGCTATTTATACAGATAGGAATCCTGAGAGAGTCTATTCAGCACCCTAGGTGACTGTCTAAATACTAAACATAAATGATTGAGAACTGAAAAGACAGCAGCTATTAAATACAACCTGAAGCACTAAAGATACATAATTACAGTAATAATAAGGAAAATAAATCCTAGATTAATGATGTCTCTTCGTTTTATCAACATAAACGACTTTATCAAATCCAGATTTTCTGAGGAATAATCAGCCAGAACCCAAGGAGACAAAGGAGACTTAGTTAATTCATCATAAGATCTTCCAGTAGGTTTGTTGAGAATCGTAATGTACTCACAGTTTATAGTCCTATGAAACCGGCAGTCGAAACCTTCCCAGTATCTCCCTGGTTGTTTATCAATTCTCAGACATTTTTCCTCCTCATTTTCATTGCTTGGACCATCACACTTTGATCTGTTTCTTTCCAGATCACCCTCTTCTCCGAGCTTGGTCAGTACCATTGAAACTCTTGAGATGCATTAATCACTGTCCACTAGCACATAGCAGTACCCACTCACGTGGTATGCATTCTCATCATGCCACCTTCCTGAGTTATTAGATGTATCATTTCCTTTACAAAAACAGGACCAAGAGCTCAGGCCAGAAGAAAAAACATTTGGATTCAGTCTCAAGACAGCAGGAGTAAAAAAATTCATCAAGTCGTCATTAAAAAGTGTAGTTGACACCAGTAGGTCCTGGTAGATGATCAATGAATAGTAATTCGTGTTCTCAACACCAGATTCTAACACACCGATGCTTGAATGAACTTCAAGAACACCCTCTCTCCAAATAGTCAACATATTTAAAGAACCAAAATCATTCAATCCTTGTTGCTGATGCTGGAGGCTGGAAGAATCAAGATAAGATATAACAATTTCCCTGTAAGGGCCACTCATACGAAAAAGGCATCCAACTGCTGGGCTTCTAGCCATAGAATAAGAATTTGCCAAATCAGGATCATTCAACAAGAATAACATCTGAGAGGTCAATTTAAACATTGGAAGTCCTTCCATTATAGGCTTGAGGTCAACAGGCAGCATTTTAATATTTCTCACTTTATTCTGTGTGATCACCAAGAATGGGAGTGATAGGAATATGGCTTAGTAGGCTATTAATAAGAAATAATAATAATAATAATAATAGTAAAGGTACTTGTAGTAGTATTAATAGAAGGGAGGGGTATGAAATATCTGGCATATCCCTGTGGATAATAGCTATAAATAGAAGGGGGGAATAGCTCATTGAGGGAGGCTGTTAATTGATTTGGGTGTTGCCTTTGGAGAGTGGGCTTCTTGAACAGTCCCGTTGCTTTGTTACCTATGTTGATCCCTTTTCATTCAATAAACATTATCATCTATCTCTTCTAGCTAGATCTGTGTGTTTCCTCACTGTTTTGCTTTGATTTATACCACTGATCTATCAATGGCATCAGAGCAGTTGCTCCTGGGATCGGAATTGAACTGCGACTTCAGCAGAGCACGTCAACACTGTAGAGGATCGTTAATCGTGCGCAACTAGAATTACGTACAAACAAGCCGGAGAAAATTGCGATGACCTTGGCTCAATCCACGAAGACGAACAGCAACCAGAATCGATTGAGGCATCACTCGCTCAATCCGCTCAGCTCGCATGGCACTCCACATCGCACTTCGCATCTCGCGGACGCGAGAAATTCCTACCCTTCTAGTTCTAGGGTGGATGGCGATAACAGGAGAAGACATGTTCGTACGGGAAGAAAGGTTGAACTACCGTGGTTTAACGGGGATGATGCAGACAGTTGGATTGTGAGGATGGAAGAATATTTCCGTCTCAAGGCTACTGGGGAGAAAAATAAAATTTAAGTCGCAGCAGAGGCTATGGAGGATGATGCGTTTTACTGGTTTGAAGGGTGGGAATTTCGAACGCGAGGAAAGAGTTGGGAAGTTCTGAAGGACATAAATCGGCGTTTCCAACAACGCAATCGGAAGTCAGAGGTTCAGGAGTCACGATCGTCAAGGAATTCTCACAGTTCGCAATCGCGATTTTCTTCTTCGCAATCGCGAACTTCATCATCATCGCCAACAGCTCTTCCCGGTTCGCAAGCGTCGTCCCGAGCAGATGTCCTCAGTTCACTGGCCCCGTCACGTACAGCCTCTCATAGGTCGCAGAGTTCGACGCTCACATATCATTCCAGTTCGCAGGGGTTTCTGCAAGCAACTTCTCCTAATCCATCAGATTTGCGGCAAACTGACACAGACGCTAGCATCTTCTCCAGTTCACAGTCGCTAACAACTCCTCACACTGCATCATTGCTTGTCGTTTCCCACCTTCCGCCAGATTCATCCGCCTCCCGGACCATTGACTTAGTAGCATCAGGAAAGAGACTGCAGGGGACTCAACTAAGCACAATGAACACAGAATTGAAAACAGCTGCACCTTCAATCCTAGAGCCGAAAGAGGATACATCGCAACCGACTGGAACTCTAATTGATAGTTTGGAAGATCCTTGGAAAACAAAGATGTACAACCGTGATGACAGTCCTGGCTTAGGGATGGCTAAGCCAGCTTTATCCCCAGGCTTGCTTCTCTGGTCTGGCATAGATTCTGAGAATGAATGGTTGTTGTACCGAAGTGTTGATTGTGTTGGGGAAACTCCAATGAAGGAAACAGCTGAACATTTTAAACACAAGTCAATAGATGGTATTGCAGCTATGCAAATCAGTCATAAGTTAGTTTCAGAGAAAGAAAGCTTGTTAGCTGATGAAATTGTTCTATCTGATGGTTCCTCACAAGTACTTACAAAAGAAAAATTGCTTGAAACCAATATAGATGATGAGGTAATAAGAGATTGTGAGGGCTTTGTTACAAAATCAGCAAATGCCTCTATTGCCGAGTGTGTGGTTGAACCCGCTCTTGTGGTGCTGGAAGTTCACATGCCTCCATCTGTTCATGCTGCCGAACTCCGTGCTGAACCACCGCCTTATCGTGGAGATGTTGTGTCTATGGTGGGGTTGAACAAGTCAATTATCACTAATACTGATGAGCTTGGACGAGTTAGAGCTATATGGGGAAGCTTCTCAAAGCCTAAGAAAAAAGTTTTCAACGATAGTAGTTTGATTGACCAAGGATTTTGCGAACAGACTTTCCAACTGACAGCTCCCATATGTGCAGGAAGTGAAAAGGTGATGATTGTTACTGAAGCTGCAAGGAATGGAGTACTTGCAGAAACAGACGGGTCTCTTGTGAAATATGAAATAAAGGAAGGATGCCAGCACTTAGCTGTGGAATCTTCAGGAGTGCATGAACTGAAATTTCAGAGATCTGTTTTATCAAGTGAAGGAGCAGTTCAGGGAGTGAGGTGTGTCCATGCCACAGCAGTATCATGGTTTTGTAAGGCTGTTGATCAGGGCGAGGCGAGGTCAAGGGAATTTCTTGGAGAAATATATGTATGAAGAGGAGCAGGAGTTGGGAGGAATTACCCAAAGGCAATAGAGTCGTCTTATGATACTATGGAATACTTTTACATGAAGGATCATGGGGTGAAGAATAACTATATCTTGGTAAAAGAGAATTTTGACAAAGATACTGATAATGATGAGTTTGCTTGGTTCTACAACGTTGTGGTTATGGATCTGAAAGAGTTTGGGGTTAAAAGGGAATTGAAGCTGGCCGACAAGTACTTGATAGAAGATGAAGCAGATTCTGGGTGGTGGCAGGTTTCTGTGCAGGGTAATGAAAATGTGGTTCCACCCATTGGAGATTCATATTATTATGGTGAGGATAATGACCGAGGTTATGAACGTGCAGCAAAAGCTTATAAGCATATCAAATCACAAGACAATGCTCAAGCCTTGTTTAACCTGAGATACATGCATGAGCAGGGCCAAGGATTGCCGTTTCAGCATTTCTACCATCAAGCTTTTCCGGGTGGGAATGAGGCAGCATGGTTTTCGTCTTTACCTTTGGCGAAAAGCAGTCTTTTGGGTGGACTCTTACTTGAATTATTGCTTTATGGGTTGGAATGTAGTTGCCGAGCTGCAATTTTTGTAACAGTGAGTGGGTTCAGATTCTGATATTCCTAAGATTCCCTGGACACACATAATGCAGGCTGAAATCTATAGGGAAGAGATGCAGTTGATGGGAGATTCAAACTTTTGCGACCTAAGGGAGCACTCTGCCATCATGACTTTGTTTCTACTCGCTTTTGAAGTGAAGAACAATAAGATGCAGCTTCAAGTACTGAAGTTAAAGGTCCAGAAACCCGGGATGTATTGGGAAGGAAGTGGCGCCAGAATGAAGAAAAAGTTGCAGATCAAGGCTGTTTCCTATCACCCACCTTGAGGACAAGGTGGTTGTTTAGGGGGGAGTATTGATAGGAATATGGTTTAGTAGGGGCTATTAATGATGATGATGATGATGATGACGCCGACGACGCCGACGATGATGATAATAGTAAAGGTGCTTGTAGTAGTATTAATAGAAGGGAGGGGGGTATTAGTAATATCTGGCATATCCCTGTGGATAATAGCTATCAATAGAAGGGGGGAATAGCTAATTGAGGGAGGCTGTTATTTGATTTGGGTGTTGCCTTTGGAGAGTGGGCTTCTCGAACAGTCCCGTTGCTTTGTTACTTACGTTGATCCCTTTTCATTCAATAAACACTATCATCTATCTCTTCTAGCTAGATCAGTGTGTTTCCTCACTGTTTTGCTTTGATTAGTACCACCAATCTATCCGGGAGAAAGAGTTTCTCATAGCAATGGAATTATAACGCAATAGCCATATGAAACCAATAATCCAAACCTACCCCTCCTTGAATGATTATACAAACTTTTGGCATTCTCATTGCATTTTCCCAAATTATCATGGCCTCTTGGAAGATAGAGGGCTTGAAATCATTGTCAATCTTTACAAACACTTCAGCATTATCATCAGTACCATAATCAACCTTTTCCCTCCAATTCCCAATAATTCCTACTCCCAGCCCATTCTGGACATACTTCCCAGAAGTATCACCATCAAATCTGAAGCCATCAAACTTATTCAGCCCTTCCAAAATTCTCTTTGATGAATGAAGGTGCACAATATTCCCTAAAACACCCAACTCACGTTCTTGAACTCTACCCAACAAAGATTTAAAATATCCTGTGTTTCGTTCAGTACAAGGGCATACCTCTGACCCTCATAGGTAAGGATAGGTGGGTGATACAGGCCCCCTCATCAGCCCCTGTGGTAATGTTGTTCAGTTCCACGACAAGATCAGTGTGGTAGGTACGATTTCCTTCATGAATGTAAGGAATATTAGATTTTATCGGTTCAGACTCTTCCATATCATCTGGTGAATATCCCTTAGACTGATTAGTATCCTCGTCTGAATCCGATTCCGGAACTGAGGGTTCAGCCAGCTTCCACTCAAGATTTGGTGTCGTCAATGAAATCCCCAGTAAAGAAACTTGAGATGACTATTGGTGATGCTCTGTTAGCAATGGCGAACTGGTAGAAACAGTTATCGCCTGAGACGAAGCTTGCGAACTGAGCGAATCAGGTAGCGACAAACTCTGCGAACTCGACGAATTCTGCGAACATTGAAGAACTGTTTGCGAACTGCTCTTGCTTTTCGAGATCCGACAGCGCTTTATGGTCAACGATCTTCCTCGCTCACGCTGACCGTTCCCCTGTAGTATCATTTTGCGCAACTCCGCGCAATCTTTCCGCACCTCCTCGCAATGGTTCGTGGTATCTCCTCGTGATGGTTCCGCATCTCCTCGCGATGGTTCCGCATCTCCTCACGATGGTTCCTCATCTCCTCACGATGGTTCCGTACCTCCTCGCGATGGTTCCGCATCTCCTCGCGATAACGTTCAAAATTGCACTCCAGGAACTCCAGTCTACTTTCCATCGTTTCAGGCTCGCTTTCCTCCATGAATAGGTGCAAGAACGATGCTCTGATACCAATGTTAGGTAACTAGCTAATTTCAGAGTAAATTCAAGAAATGAAAGATGAAGAAATAGTGAACAGTCTCAAGAAGGTCGATTACAGAGAAGAAAGAGAAATACAATGGCAGTTTAAGAGTGCCCACCTGAAATGCCTACTCGTAACAACCAGGAGCGTAGCTAGTGGGACCAACCCCAGCCAACCCTAATACTTTTATGAGTAAAATTTGATGTGAATGATTTTCCAGAATGTTTAGATAAGAGGAAAAAGATGTCAGATTTTCCAGAACCTACAAATAATCATTAATCCACATCAGCTTTAAAAGTTCATAGTTACTTTTTGGCATTTAACTGCTTTAGAAGCATATCTTGTTATCTAAATCTTGACCAACTCATCCATCTGGACATTCGGGGGCTGTAACTTGTAAGCAGTTGCAATATTACATACATTATATCTCCTACTGCCCTGGAGATGCACTTCTATTTCAGAACCAAATATGAATGTTCTGCAATCATTACAAATTTCATTGGTCTACAGTTCAATCTATACTTAAAACACCTATACAAAATAAATATGTTTGAATGAGAATAATGAATTATACAGTATAATATACAAATTTCTCAGAAATTGCAGTATAGTTCAAAGCCTCAATTATCTACATTTCAGAAAAAATATACCATCGCTAAAAGGGGTTGTCCTCTATACCCGATTGGAGATGCTAGTTACAGTTAATATATTGGAAGCGAAATGCCCAACAATAAACTGCATAGCATAAAATATCTACCTCTATAAAAAAAAATAAGAACAAGAAGTTATTTTATCAAAAGTTAGAACAAAGTTATTACCATTTCTATTGTAATTCACCGTGAAAGAAAAAGAAAACAGAATTCTTCAAGTTGGAAGAAAGAAAAATAATTAAATAAAAATCAATTGGCGTGCCTGTTGGTGACATGTGGAGGTGGCGATCCGTTTGGCCACAGGCAACTCTCAGTTCCTGTGGAAATTCACACTTGGCAGCAACTTGCTATCTAAATGGTGTCATGTAAAACCATCCGCACTGCAGTTGCACTTGAAACTCATTCAATCATAGGTACGACCCTTTAAAACTTCAAACTCACCATACTGTGCTGGTTTGCAAAAAGACTGCCTTAGCTGAATGAAGGAGGCTACCAATAATCCCCACAAGAACAAGATCCATCTTTGAAGTGGTGGAACCTGTTAACATCTCTAATTATGATTTCTCTAGAGACAATCTTACATATGAACTTGAAGGCTGTATGACAGTCCAAACAAATCCTAAGGTTCTTCTTCACCCTAATGGGAGATCCAGGAGGGGTAGCAATCAACCCAAACGCTACAGCTAACTTCTCGCTATGGTATGACAGTAAAATCTCCTTTTGTTCTTTTTCCACATCATGTAGATCAACCTCCACCATGGGAACGTACCCTTCTTTACCCATTAACTCACCCAACTCCTTAAGTTTTCCATATATCTCTTCACTTCTGGGATGGTTTCTGTCTCCCACTATGAATGTGTACACCGTGTCTTTAACCTCAATCCAGCTCATCCCTGGTTCCTTTTTTACTTTGCTGTCTCTCATCGATCTTCTAACCTCCGCCACATTTGCCCACAACCCAACAGAAGCATAAATGTTTGCAAGAAGAACATGGGTCCCAGACTTCTCAGGTTCAAGAATGAAAAGCTCATGTGCGGCTTGTTCTCCTATGCCCACATTTTTATGTGTTCTTGAAGCACCGAGAAGTGCCCCCCATACGGACGCATTAGCCTCAAAAGGCATTTGATTTACTAGATCAATAGCCTCTTCCAATTTGCCCGCTCGCCCAAGAACGTCGACCATACAAGCGTAATGTTCTTGTGTTGGCTCAATTCCAAATCTCTCTTTCATCGTTTTGAAATGGATTCTTGCTTCTGAAACTAAACCAGCATGGTTACATGCACACAAAACACTAACTAACGTTATGTGGTTAGGGGTAATTCCATCAGTAAGCATTTCGTTGAACAAATCAAGGGACTTTTTGGCATTCCCGTGTTGGGCAAGTCCCGCAATCATGGCTGACCACGAGACGATACTTTTCTTTGGAACCTCAGAGAAGGCACGCCCTGCGTCCTCTATGCTCCCACATTTGGCATACATGTTTACTAGAGAGTTTCCAGCAAAGGTGTCAGACATGAACCCATATTTCAAGACATGAACGTGGATTTGTTTCCCCTGTTCATAAGTTGACAGATTAGAACAGGCATTGAGAAGAGAACTACAAACAAATGAGTCTGGGATTATACCCAAAACCTGTAACCTTAAATATAGCTTCAGAGCTTCTTCCCCTTTTCCGTATTGAGCATAAGCTGTAATCAAAGAGGTAAATGATGGTAAATCTACAAAAGGTAATTCATCAAGGATTTTAGCTGCTTCGGCAAGTAGGCTACACTTTCCATATGAATCAATGAGACTGTTTACCAAATAGGGATCAGAGTGAAACCCTGATTTAACGGACAGTGTGTGAATTTGCTTACAAACATCATAAGCTTGCAATCCAGCAGTGGAGTTTAGGGCTACTAGTAAAGTCGTTTGGTCAAATCTTATTCCGCTCTTGTGCATGTTAGCGAAAAGGGTTAGGCATTCAGTGTATTCTTCGTTCAGTGAATATCCAGATATCATAGCGTTCAGAGCTATCAAGTCTTTCTCGGGCATATAATCATATATTAGTCTCGCATCGTTCATCAAATCGCATTTACAGTACATATCAATCAGCCCAACACTCACAAATGGATCTATAACTATGTCTTCCTTTATCAGAAGAGAATGCAATGATTTTCCTGCAGTCTGAAGCTTCAGTGCAGCAGAAGCTTTCAGAGAACTTGATAAGGTGAACATGTTCGGAAACATTCCGGACCTTCTCATCCAGCCCAACATTTCCAATGCTTGATCGTGACACTCACGAAGAACACATCCGGCTATTATAGCATTCCACGAAACAACGTCTGGTTCTGAAATTCCATGAAAAACAGCAATTGCGTCTTCCAAGTCACCCAGTTTTGCGTACATGTCCACGAGTGCATTTGATGAAAAATGGTCTGAATCGTGACCAATCTTTAATAGATAGCAGTGGGTTTTCTTCCCTAGATAAATATCTGCTAATCCTGTACAGGCATTCAATATTGTTGATAAACTGTACTCATCTGGTTTTATTCTACTACTCTGAACCATTTCTTGAAACAAACTCACTGCTTCCCTGAAAAAATCGTTCTGAGTGTAACAAGAAAACAAAACATTCCATGATACGACATTTCTTTCTGGGATTTCGTCAAACAGTTTCCTGGAATCCGAAAGTTCACCACTTTTTGCATACACAACGACCAAAGTGTTAGCTACAAAAACATCAGATCCAAACCCGGTCACCACCACAACCCCATGAATCTGTTTCCCTAGCAAAAGATCCCTTTTTATAGAACATGCCTTGAGCACACTGGGGAACGTGAATTCATTACATTTTAGACCCAAAGAATGCATTTTTCTGAAAGATAAAGTGGCCTCCTCTGAAAGGCCATTCTGGGTATACCCTGATATCAAAGAAGACCAAGAAATCAAGTCTGGTTCCGGACTTTCCTCAATCAGCTTGTGGGCATTCCCAAAATCCCCACATTTTGCGTAGAGATTTATCAAACAGTTTCTCTGTTTGTTGTCTTGGAACAACCCAAGTTTGGTTAGACATGCATGGATTTGTCGACCTGGCACGAGAGACTTGACTCGGGCCGGCCCCGACATTTTAAAGGCCCTGTTCAAAAGCAAAACAGGAGGCCCTTAAATATAAAGCTAAAAATTAATTTCATAGTTTTAAAATTTTGCCTTCTGGTCATCTATCTATTATAAATTAATATATAAAAGCAAAAGATTTTTTGGAACCATACTCCCGCCAAAAATCTCCATAGTAAGAACTAGACCGTATGAATAAAAAAAAGTCAAAAATAAAAGAAAAATTAACAGCCTACTTCCTCTTTTAATACGAGCCTGACATGCCAATTCAAAGTAAATCAAGCCAGCCTTACTCCTGGAGGCATGTGCTAGGCTACAAATGAACGGTACACTTTTTAATACATGAAACCAAATATAATACTCCATTTATCTATCTAGAAAGATTTAGGGAAAAAAATATCTGACAATGTATTCAGGTGTATTCACCAGCACTGGATCGTAAAACAAACCCTTCACAATAAAAGTAAAAATAGCCTGTTATTTGTGGCAATATGTTCTCACAAATCATCTACAACTCAAGAGTCAAGCCCGTGTAAGTTCTCGAGTTTATCAACAAATCAAGAGTGCATGCTTAAGCATGAAAATATGGTGAATCAATATGTTTGGTTATCTATTGGTTATTTATTACATTTAGCTCATGTACATGTAAGTCATCCCATATGGTTTTCGGAGCATAAAATGTATAAAAACTATAAAAGAAAAACAAATTTGTTGAAGATGGGCCATTTGTGTGCAAATTTAAAAACTCATGATCATCATCATCATTATCATTACCCCAGTGCCACAAAGGCTCCCACCTACGGTGGGGTAAAGGGGTTGGATGTACGCAGTCTTACCCCTGTGCTAAAGCACATAGAGATTGTTTCCGGATGACCCATGATCATTCAACAAAAATCACCGTAGAGTTTTTCTGCACACAACAAATGATACTTTAATTACAACATATTAAACAAATGTCATATTTACATTGAAAGCTATGCATTATAAGAAAGATGTGCATGCAAATACTTCTTTTGAAGGTATGAATCAGTGATTGCCACATAAAAGTTAAAAATGAAACTATTGTTTTCACAACACTGAGTTAAATGTATGTACTTCTAAAGTAGAAGAGGGTCTATAAAGTTAAGCTATTTCAAAATTTATACACTCTGTTGAAGATATATACAATCTCATAAATATGTACACATACATAGCCACATATTTCGAGAGTGTTCTTATGAAACTCAGTAAAAACAACATATTTAATAAGTATGTATCACCCCGTATATGCATATTTATTTTTCTCTAATTGTAATATGTAAGCTTGTAAAATCCGTAAGGGAAGCACGAGGGAAAGTGAACAAGGAGTTGTATGAAAAGTTGGACTCTAAGGAAGGAGAACTAGATATTTATAGACTTGCTCGTCTTCGTGATCGCAGAACTCAAGATATTGCAAAAGTTAAGTGTGTGAAGGATGTTGATCAGAGGATATTAATGGACGACGGAGAGATAAAAGAAAGGTGGAGGTCATACTTTGATACACTATTCAACGGGAACAAAACGCAAGATATCGGCGATTTGTCCATACCAGATTGTATGGTAAACCGTGATTTTGTGAGAAGGATCCAAACAACGGAAGTTAAAGAAGCTCTGAGGAAGATGGGACGGAAAAGAGCAACGGGGCCAGATGGCATACCGATCGAGGCTTGGAGAAGTTTGGGAGAGAGAGGCGTCGAGTGGTTAACAAGTTTCTTCAACATGATTTGGAGAAACAACAAGATGCCAACGAGTTGGAGGAAGAGTACTCTTCTCCCCTTATTTAAGAATAAAGGTGATGTACAAGAATGTGCCAACTATCGAGGGATTAAGCTTATGAGTCACACCATGAAACTTTGGGAGCGAGTGATTGAGCAAAGACTTCGAAGGACTGTGAAGATTTCAGAAAATCAATTCGGTTTTATGCCTGGTCGCTCAACAACTGAGGTCATTCACCTTCTTCGACAACTTATGGAGAAGTATAGAGATGCTCATGAGGATCTGCATTTGGTGTTCATTGACTTAGAAAAGGCATATGATAGGGTACCTCGAGAAGTTCTTTGGTGGGCCTTAACTAGGAAAGGCATATCACGCAAGTATATCAGCATCATCATGGATATGTATGAGGATTGTACTACAAGTGTTCGTACTAGTGTAGGGAGGACTGAAGAGTTCCCTATTACTATCGGAGAACACCAAGGATCGGCCTTGAGTCCTTTCTTATTTGCCATAGTCATGGATGAACTTACGAAGTCAATTCAAGACGATATACCGTGGTGCATGATGTTTGCCGACGATATTGTATTGATTGATGAGACGCAATCAGGTCTTAAAGCAAAGTTGGAAGTATGGCGACAAACATTGGAGAATAAAGGTTTCAAACTAAGTCAGAGCAAGACAGAGTACATGGAGTGCAAGTTTGGTGGAGGTAGAAGTAGTGGTAATAGCGGAATTACTCTGGATGGTAAGGAGATACCGGTCAGCGATATGTTCCGTTACTTGGGCTCCATAATTCAGAAGGACGGTGAGTTAGATGGAGATGTATCCCATAGAATCAGAACAGGGTGGATGAAGTGGAAGAGTGCGTCAGGATTTCTATGTGACCGAGGTATGCCGACTAGACTGAAGGGTAAATTTTATAGGACAGCAATTATGCCTGCATTACTGTATGGCGTAGAGTGTTGGGCGGTGAAACAATGTCACATTCATAAGATGAGTGTGAAAGAGATGTGCATGCTGCGTTGGATGTGTGGGCATACTAGGAAGGACCGCGTGAGGAATGAGACAATCAGACAAAGGGTGGGAGTAGCACCTATTGAAGACAAGATGCGGGAGTCGCGCCTACGGTGGTTTGGTCATGTGCGTAGAAGACCGAGTGATGCACCTGTTAGGCGAGTTGAGATGTGTGGACAAGAGGCAGGGAAGAGAGGGAGAGGAAGACCCAAACAGACGTGGGTTAGGGGAGTTCGAAGTGATATGCTTTTTCTGGGGTTGGATGAGGGCATGACTTTGGAGAGAACTAAGTGGAGGGCGGGTATTCACGTGAATGAGTGATCTTGATAATCTTTTTCCCTCATCTTTTTTTCCTAGTTTTTTTTATCCTTATATATATATATATATATATATATATATATATATATATATATATATATTCATCTTTTTTATATTATCTTTTCATAATAGCTTATCTTTTTATCTTTATTCCTTCTTTTCCTTTTGGTTGTGATATCATGTATCGATTCATGTTAGCCGACCCCAATATCTTTTGGGACTAAGGCTTGGATGTTGTTGTTGTTGTTGTTTGTAATATGTAAGCTTGTAAACAATGGTTACAATGGAGCTGTAATCACCTAAGTGTGTTATGAATGATTAGAACATAGCTATTTAATTTACCTTGGATGTGTTGTTAATATAGATATACATAAACATATTGGTATAAAATTCAAATGGATTTAAAAGGGCTCCAATTGTGTATTAGAAAAGATAGCACCTGTTAGTGTGAAGGGCTGTAGATTGGGTAAGTGGTATGAAATATGAATAACAGAATAAGAGTTTTGCAACTGTTATAAATGAGAATTACTTCCAACCTTAAAAAGATGTGTTTATTTTTGGTATTTCACGAAGTAAAAACTGTAGAATAAGTAAAGAACATATTTCGTACTTCAGCGTAGAAGTAATATTCTAAGTTGCATGGAAGCCATATATTTATTTCTCTAGTTCCAGAAAAATGTTTTAATTAGTCATTTGGTCATACTTTGCTTCACAGTAGAGATTTCAAACCAATTTCGTTCCGTTTTAAAATTGAAACAGGTAAAACATAAAACTATGCACTAATTCAGTATTTATATAAAATAATCCGAGTTTAATATATTTTCACTAGTGTTCCTACAAGATATCAAAAAAGGACAATTTTTATGCGAAAACAAATGACCCTAAGTCGGACTATCAAGAGATTTCATATTCTCTACATGCGTGTAATGGAAATTTATCACAAAACATCTAAATGTATAATAATAGTCAAACTAATGTTACCTATATGAAGATCAGGACTTACCTTTAACACATGAAAATGGCGATTTTATTAAAAAAAAGTATATGTCTCAAACTTGGGTTGTTGATAGGCGTCTCCTTTCCGAACGGTACAAATCTGCGCTTGGGGTAGCTTATCATCTGTGGGCAGTGATGAAATAAATTTCCCTCAGACGGAAAAAATGTAAACTAGGATGTATAACTCCGAATCTGATGGAGGTGGTCGATGAATGTGGCGGCCGGCTCCGGCTGTGATTGAGCTGAGAAGCCATCCCCTGCGCACCTCTTCTATGACGGACAAATTTCAACTCTTTTTCATTAGATGGACAAATTTAGACATACGTAGAATTTCTCTTTTTAGGTATGGACAAATTTAGACATATGTAGAATTTTTTTTAGTTAGCGATGCTTAACCTTTCACGTTTGTTAACGCATACTATCCTTCGTATCTCATTAATTGCAACATTGGAATATATAGACTATTCATGTATTTTACTTTGACTACATTTTATTTATTAATGTATGTGAATTAATTTTTTTGAAAAATGTTGTTAAATTCGTCTCATTACTAAGTTTTATAATCTAATTTTTATTTTATTTTTACTAATACATAATTAAATATAATGACGGTCAAAGTTGTGTATTTGAAAACGTGAAATGTTGACTGTTGCAACTAAAAAGAGACGGAGGAAGTATCTTTTATAATAAATACTCCGTACAATATATTTTATTTTCTATTAGTAAAAATGAATAAAAATCAGATTTTGGAATTTTGTAATAAGATTAATTAAATAATTTTTTGTAAAATAATTTTCATAAAATAATAGTGAAAAATGTAATCAAAGTATAACATGTGAATAGTGTAAAATTCAACATGTTGCGATTAAAAAAGACGGAGGATAGTGTACAGAGTAACTAAAATTGATTGTCTTTTTTTGTCATTTCTCATTTCTTGGTATTATTGATTGGACACTGAAATAATTCTCATTTCTCTTTTTTTACTTTCAACGTCTCTTAAAATTTTGTCAACTTTCCTTTTCTTGAATGTCTAATTTTGCCATTTTCCCTTTTAAGTAAAGAATTTGCGGTTCCACTTAATTCTCTCTCCTCTGCACAAAGCTCAATCATATAGTCTTTACTTTATTAATTTTCGTGTCGGTCAAGTTTTGCAAAGTTTTAAGGAATGGAGGGATCCGCGTATTTGTTAGGGATCCACGTTAGGAAAAAATCAGGCACATCCAAGTTAATTTTAAGTGTCGGTCAAACTTGGCAAAGAAGTTTTCATTTCTCTAAAAGAAAATCACTTTTAGGCAACAGGTCACAATTATCCTTACTTTTTATCTATTTTTTTGCTTGATTTGTCATAAAGTAAGGATATACTCCTAATGGAGTATATTCCCATATACCACAGGGGTACCATAATCGCCGGCATTCACTTTGCGGATCCATCAAGGAGCATGAAAATACTAAGTCCACATCTGGGACCGACCCTAACCCCGACCGCCGAGGTCGGGAGAATACCAACCTCAGGAATCAATCAGACTTAGCAAATAATGTGGCCAGCCGAGCCCGAGCTCGACTGCCCGAGGTCGGTAAACACCAGGCTCGGGAATCAACCAAACTCCACAAGTTATGAGCCCGACCTCGAAGGCTCCGAGCTTGGCACCAGTTCTGACCTCAGACGTCAACGCAAGATCAACCAGAGTCAAGCAACGGAGTCAACGATCTCGAAGACAGAGCCTTAAGCAGAAGGCATCTCCTCAAGTATCGAGCTTGAGCCTGCAGATACTGGCCCCGCATATACTAACCTCGCAGGCACCAACCCCGACCTCAGAAGTCAACACAAAGTCAACCAGCGCTGGCACCAGACAGTCAGTCATCCCAGGGGGCAGAACCGGAAACAAAGAATGAGCTCTTTAGCAAATGAGCCTGAGTCTTCAATTACTGACCTCGATAGGCTCAAGGTCAGATTGAAGCATTGTGGACTTAGACAAATCCGCAAGGACCAGCATCACAAGGAGACTTTGCCACGTCATTCTCGGCAACAGATAAGATTCTGGAATGCCCACGCATATCCACACGGGTATTCGGTTAGCAGTTTGTTGGGAGCAACTCCAATCAGCCAGTTGTCCAGTACTATCTCTCCAATCACCTTTACACGTGGCTGCTCCCCATCGACTTGGACTGTTACTTTGTTAGAATAGATTGGACACATGTCCCCTTCTTATTAGATCAGCATCTTTTACTTGGGCACCAAGTATTGCCTATTCTAGTATAAATATCACATTCTAACTTGGGGATAGGGATCGCATTCTCAACTCTCATAATGTTACTCTGCCGGATTATATACATGTACTTTCCAATCAGTTCTCTCTCTCTCGTTTTACTTGGATTCCGACTACCCCCTAGTCCGGTGATCCATCATGGTTTGTGCTTTCATTGAGAGCTGAACTGTGAATCAGGTAACATCCTCCCACCTTTTCCTAGATCTACAGTAACTTCTCCTCCTTGACAATGGCTCGAAAGACAATTGCGAGAAACAGGCGTGTTGTTGCCGTTGTCGCCCAAACTGATCCCTCGTTGGAAGCTACTGCTACTTCCGGCACCAGGAGGGCCGCTAGGGGAAAGCAAGCCGATGAGGCTTCTGCTGATCTGTGTGGCCAGACCCAGCGTGCTTCCCCATATCTCCGTCAACAAATCTCACTGAATCGCGATGCAGCGGCAATGCCGCCCGCGCAGGTGATCCCACAATTCCAGAGTCTTCTGATGGTGGATCCTGGTTACCACCCAACTGCTGAGACCACTGCTCTCATTAAGGTTGATTATCAATCCACCTTAGTACATCATCAGAAAGTTGTTATACACTATTTATCTAAGAGGTTAAAGACTTCCGTTGTGCATCTATAAATCTCCCAAAAGATTATAGATCAACTCATCTAGAAGGGAAAGGCTTTAAAGTTGAAAAGGCTTTAAAAGTCTATTCACCCCCCCCCCCCCTCTAGACTTTTACCTCTATCCGGGACCATCAAAAATCTAGGGTTTAACATTTGAAAAGCTTTGGCATCATCAAGGCTTTACAATCCCAATCCTCTTACTCTACCAGAAAAAGAGGAGGATGAGCAGGCAACTCAATTCATACAAACATCTGACTGGATGCAAGCTAGTTCAACATGAACAATCCTAGAAGCTTGTATGAAGACCCTATCATCAACATATGATAGGAACAAAAAGGGTGACTAAGGAAGGCATCATTGTTAAGAAGAAAGTAAAATTAGTGGACAAAGGGTACTACAAAGAAGAAGGAATAGATTTTGATGAAACCCTTGCCACAGTTGCACATTTGAAGCTAAAAATATTCTTAGCATATGCTGCCCATAAGCAACTCACAGTCTATCAAATGGATGTGAAGAATGCCTTCCTAAAAACGGTCTACTAGAAAAGGAGGACTACGTGGAGCAGTCCCCTTGATTTGAAATTGATAAGAGATGAAGTATAGTCCCCTTGATTTGAAATTGATAAGAGATGAAGTATTCAAACTTAATCATTCTCTGGAGTCAAGAAATCTCCAAATGAAGGGTATGATACACTCTCTAAGCATATGGTGAAATATGGGTTCATCAAAGGCATGTAGACAAGATACTATTGTAGAAGGTCCCCACACACACTCCTTAAATCTTTCAACTCTTAAATCTTTCAACTCTCAAGCCTACCTTGAGGTGAGCCTAAAAGGAGAGTTGAACTATTTCTTGGGACTACAAATGGAACATAACTCCACAATGTTCCCACATCAACCAAGCCATTGAATGAAGCTAGATTCAAACATCTTGACAAGAGCTTGGAATGATGATCAAAGCAGGAATACCCATACACCCATCCAGGGGGAACTTGATTCCAAAAATTGAGGGGGAAATCCTAGGCATCTGTTGAGGGGGAACACATACCCCAACTCTTATGAACAGTCACTTTCTCATCTACTCAAATTCCGAGCAGCAAACTAAGCAGGTGACTGACTCACAACAGCAGGTGACTGCCCATAAGCCCACTGCTACAACTTCTTGAAGAATTTCTGTAACTCGGCAGGGTGACTACCAAACGAGCCCACGGGATGATTGAGCTACTAAGAAATGATTGCCAAAACAATACTTATTCTTCCAAGAGTATTCTATGCTTCATTTACAAACTAGTTAACTCCAATTGACAATATCCAAAAACCAGATGACTTGACTAACTCTGAGAATCAGGTGGGATTTGTTCAATAAAAACAAATCAATATGGCAGAGACCGGTCAACGTTATGGATAACAGAAGGAGACGTTCAAAAGGAGAATTAGGTATGGTTGACCAGAAACTCTAGAAAGAAGAAAAGGAGTAAGAATCCGAGCAAATGGCTCAGCAATTGACTGATATCCAGCAGTAGTAGGCTCAGCAGGCGACTGACTACTTGTCCACTGCTACTTGCATAATGAGAAGAGATGCATCAATACGTTCTTAAAGTGGAGGACAACCCTGGAATAAGCACATGGCTAATATCATCCTAATCACCTCCAAAAAGCAGAGCAGGTGGCTCACCCACAAGTAGAGCAGACCACTTCAGTAAACAAGCAGGTGGCTTCCCATCTCCAGCAGTTGACTCACTCAAATTTACACTTCTCGAGCAACTAAAGGCAGACTTCATCAAGTCAAGCAATGGAGAAATTGGAAGCTGGCCAAAAACCATAACCATCAAGTGGCACTGCATATACTCCATCAATGGAAAAAGGCAAATAAAAGAACATCAAGCTGATTCCTCAAGAAAGGCATACAGCTCAATTCTTGACACACAAAGACTCATGAAACGCCAACATTTGATTTCAAAAACATTTTGAACTCCTCAATAAAGAAAATCCAGAAAGGAAGAAAATGCAAGTATCAACTGAGAGGGAGAAGAACAAGAAGAACAACTAGCTCAAACTGCTGGAGATCAAAAATCAAATACCAATTCAAAAAGGTACAAATATTGATCCCAAAAACTCAGCAGTAGACTCATACATGGATTCAAAAAGGAATACTACTACTCTGTAGAATCTTAAATTTATTAGGAGCATCCTGCTTGCAGCGTCCTAATAAAATAAAGATTACCTAAAAAGATAGTTAGCTTCCTATTTTTATTGATTACTGTCAAAATTAGCCATAAACAAGCTAAAACAGTATCCTAGAATTATCCATATTCTGAGCAAACAAGGCATGCAAAAAGGAAGTGTCAGACTTCAAAACAGATGAAATTTAAGGACACATGCAACATGCAAGAGCAACACATGTTGATCCAAGTAAACCTACTCAGTGGCTTCATTAATAATGGTCATCAATGTCATTTAAATGAAA